TTAATCAAATTAAAACACGGCTGAGAGGGAGTACAGTACGCGGTAGTCATAGGCAGTAGTCTGAGCAGCGGTAAAAGAGGCATTCAAGATGGCGGCCACGCAAAGTGCTTACGTCATGATGACCAAGCCCTATTAAACTAGCTCACTTGGTTAGAAAAATAAAAGTTTGCCACCGGCCGCTTCTTCCGGATCAAACCAACAGCCTTGGCAGATGGGGGTGCCGCACTAGCTGTGGTCGCCTCAGTTATTTCACCCAGTCCCATTAGATGGAAAACTAATGACTGACATTTTCTAATCAGATCTATTTAACAAGAAAAAATCCCCATTAAGCTTCATTCAAAAAGTCAGAATTCTGAGAAAAAAATCAGAATTCAGTCGAGAACAAAGCTATTCCTAACTGTTGTGTCACATGACCAAATGAGCTAATTTCATTGGCTAGAAGCTGCTGAGTGTAGATTGCTTTGGCTTGAGTTCACTAAAAGGTCGACACATATGCAGCTGAATATTTACCAGATTAAAATTCAGTGCAAAGAATTCAATGTGTAAAAACATTCAGTGTTTTAAATTAGGCAGATTTCAGTTAGACCGTTTTTCCCCCATAGAGGGACAGTCAGACTAAACCAGGACAGCTGCTCTAAGATCTGCAAACCCCAGAACCTCCTGGACAAACGTCTCCAGCTTCTCTTCAGTGGTTCTGTTTTCTCTAAGGCAGCAGCTCAAACGGGCCCCAAGTCTGTTTCTGTGACGATTGGAGCCAAAATGGCCGAAATGGACCAGTTTAGGTAAAAAGTCCCAGAGGAGATGCAGGAAGCAGCTAAAAAAAAAACATTTCCACTGGGTCTAACACTGGAGGCTGAGAGGCGGCCTCTGCTCCGGCGGCGGCCTCTGCTCCGGCGGCGGCGGCAGGCTCTGCTCCGGCGGCTGCCTCTGCTCCGGCAGCAGGCTCTGCTCCGGCGGCTGCCTCTGCTCCGGCGGCAGGCTCTCCATCAGGCATTTCAGCTGCTCCTCTCCCAGCTTGATCTTATCCTCCAGCTTCCGCTGCTCGATGATGAGCGCCGACTTCATCTTCACAAAGTGTCTGTAGTCGGCCAGGCTCTCCGCGTCCAGGTGAGCCTCCATGATCCCGGTCACCAGCCGCTCCCTGCGGTCCAGGTTCTCCTTCAGCTCCTTGGCATCGTCGTGCTGCCTCATCAGCAGCTCGCGTTTCTCCGTCAGCGTCCGCTGCAGGATCAAGGCGAGTTAGAACCTGGCAGACACACTCAGAGTTTTCTTTGACGTCTCTAGCTACCTTCTCCTCCAGCGGAGCCTCGTCCTCCAGGCTGTTGAGGGCGTTCTCCACCCGAGCGAGGCGCCCTGACAGCGACAGCAGCAGGCTCACCACCTTGTCCAGGTCGCCCACGAACATGCGGAACTTGTCCAGCTGGTTGGACTGGCAGAGACGCTGCACGGTGGCCTCCACCTCGCGGCCCAGCGTCTCGTTGTCCTCCACGTCCTCCTGCAGGCTCTGCCGCGCCTCCCGCAGCACCTCCAGCTTCTTCGCCAGGCTGGAGATCAGCTCTTGCTGAGAAGGAACACATTTTGATGACTCTTCATCTTTTTTTTTTTGAGATGTCAGCAGACAGGTTCTACCTTTTTGCTGGCCAGATCAACGTCCAGCTCGTCCTCGGAGTCCTGGTCCTCCAGCTGCTCCTGCATGTCCTTCATCTTGATGAGGAGCTCGGCTTTGGGGGCCGATGTGTTGTAGTAGGAGGAGCTGGGGACCAGTGTGGCTGACAGAGACGCATCCTCCGCTTCTCTCCTGATTAAATAGAAAGTCTGAGGTTCATAAAAATAAACACGTTCCTCCGTTTGTTTTAAGCTTAAAGACGAAAATACAGCCTGTTCATTCATTACCTACAATTATTAATAGTCATTTTCATTCAGTATTAAAATCTAACATTTGCGGAAGAGGATTAGGGCCACTGAAAAGAGAAAACATTTTAAATATTATTTCAGTTTAATATGAGAAAAAAGTCAGAATTCTAACTTTAATCTCAGAATTCTGCAGCCTAGTAAACTAGCCCCACCCACCAGCGGCCAAAATCATTTTCACCTGCGAGTGGTCGAGCCTCGATCAATGCCCCAGGCCCTAGAACTGGAGGGCCAATCACAACGCAGAGATGTTTTGAATTTTGGGATGCAAAGTGGGCGGGGTTTTGAGGGCGTGACGACAAAGCTGCACGACGCTGGAGAAAACACAACAAGGAAGATGGCAACAACTATTGAACAGTTCTGGTTAGACTCAGCTTTGAAATCAGTGTTTGGAAGGATTAGATTTTGGGTTTTCATTAAAACGTGAGCAGGAAGAGGCTCTACGCTCATTTATTTTTAAGAAGGACGTATTCGCCATCTTACCAACACACTATTAGTTTCCACTCCCCCACCAGCTTCCCGTCGCGCTTCCTACGTCACAGTCAGTTTCTCTCATGGGTCAGAGCGTTGTCCAATAGGCACAGACATCAACAATCTTCCGATTCATTGGGGCCAGACTAGATTACACATTTAATCTGATATTTAGTCTGGTTTATCAGGCTAAGAATTCTGACTTTAATCTCAGACTTTTGGATCTTAATATGGATGACCACTCAGCTTCACTGACAAAGATGTGAGTTGTTTGGCAGGGCCAGTAAAATATAGATAGAAAATGATGGAATTAGGTGACTTTTTACATGCCTGAGGGTCCCTGGTGATGCTGTTTCATTTATAGAAAAGTAGAAGGTGATTAAAACAAGAGAGCTAGTTTCTAAAACAGAGGTGGCTACTGCTACAGACAGAGTCCTGAGATTAAAGTCAGAATCCTGAGATTAAAGTAAGAATCCTGAGATTAAAGTCAGAATCCTGAGATTAAAGTAAGAATCCTGAGATTAAAGTCAGAATTCTGAAGAAAAAGTCAGAATTCGGAGATTATGTTGGGATCCGGAGGTCTGTCCACTTTCTCCACCAGAGGGCGTACTTGATCTCCTGGAGCCGGAGCTGATTGCAACCACCTGTCGCTCGTCTGCTCATCAGGAGATCAGTATTTAAGGAGGCAGAGGACGTCTCTCCAGTGCCAGAGTGTTTGCCAGTTACGGTTAGCAAAGCCTGAGCCAACCTGCCTGTCTGAATCTCTGACTCCCTGAAAGCCTGCACCTGAATCTGATCTGTTTTCTCCTCTCTGCTTCCTAGATTGAACCTGCCTGAAAACTGAAACCCAGAAGAGTATCTCTGCCGGTAATATGCCTGCCCGCTTTCAGAAGAAACCGGAAGGGAAACTCTAATCGGTAATCTGCCAACACTCAAACCAAGCTCTGCCTCCGCCT